TGACACCTCATTCTTCCACTGGGTTTAGCCCTTTCCGTCTTATTTTTGGTTATGATCCTCAATTACCTACATCCCTCAACAAACCTCCTGAGCATCATTACTCATATGACGACTATGCTAAAGAAATCAAGTTCAGAATTCAATCGTCAAATCAAATTGCAAGAGAAACTTTGTTAAATTCTAAACAAACTTCAAAAAATTATTATGACAAATCCGCGAAGAAGACCGAATTTAATGCAGGAGATTTTGTACTCCTTAAGAACGAGACGATCACCAAAGGAAGATCCAAAAAACTAGCCAAACCTTGGCTTGGTCCCTTTAAGATTTTATCTAAGGACTCGGCTGTAAATTACACTCTGCTGTGTGGTAAGAGGCATGTCAAGGTTCACATAGATAGACTAAAACTTTTTATAGATTAAGATCATTATTTTTCCATTTTCAAATTTTGGATTTTATTATCATTGATAACAATTATGCAATCATGTTTCAAACAAATTTTTTCTTTTCTCTCGTTTTTTTTTTAAAAACCTTTTCATATGTAGTTTGTTACTATTCTTAAGATCACATTTTTCCAATATTTCTATTATAATTTGTGTTTATATTATTTAAAATACATTTAGTGTTCTCATATTTGTTCATTTAATACTCAATATTTTCAATATTTTTACCATCCCTAACTGTAATATCTTATATTTAAATTGAATATTTTTAATAAAAATCATTAGATTAATTTTTAGATTTAATGTTAATCTTTCTAGATATAAGCTTTTTCCATTTTATCGCAAATTCTAACTCTTGTTCGTTTTTTTTCTTTTTATCATATACCATATTTTACTTAAGATTATAGTTTAGTTATATCATGTAAGATTGGTGTCTAAAATTAGAAACAACTATAATCTTCTTTTAAGAGGGGAGGAATGTTGTGCCCGCTGCACAACACTATATTCCTGTATCGAATACTCTATCAGTATAAACACCACTAGCTAGTAGGGGCGAAGAATATCGGAAATACCCGAAGAAACCCGAAGGAGGGGGACCTCAGAGGCACATCGAGGATTCAGTTCTCTCTTGGAACTAGCAGCGATACCTAACTACTAAATTCAATTAATTATACAAACTATATCTAATCCAAAGTTGTTCTCTTAGTATTAATAAATTATTTTATAAGTCAAAAGGACTTTCTTGAGTTTCAATTTATATATCCTCGAAATAACCTCCGCTGAAGGCAAAGACAAGCTGAAGTATATTAAGGCAGTGAAATATACCAAGCACAACAAACCGTTCGATAGATATTGGTTGGGAATCGAACTGATTAGTTTTTGGTGAAGATCGGCTGGGCTTTTTCCTCGATTTTTATGATTTTTTTTTGATGGTAGATATCATAGTCGCATAGTCTTATAGATCAGGGGTCGGCAAGCTTTTAACTGTAGTGTGCCAAGACACTCTACCAATATGATTTAGAGTGCCGCCCTAATTTTGAAATATATAGTTAGGTTCTAGGGGAGAAGAATTATAACCAAATTTATCTTTTAAACTTATTTTTTAACAAATAACAAATTTCGAATATGAACTAAACAACCTTATTTCAATATCCGAGGTATAATTCGTAACTTTTAATTTCACACAAGATTCTGAATGTTTAGTTGTTAAACGATTTCTTTGCGAACTCAAAATATGTTTCATGTGAGAAAAAATTTGTTCACAGAGATATGTACAACCAAAAGCTGAAAGGAGAGCGCATACAATTTTATTTAAACAATTATATCTATTCCGGCAATGTCATTCAACAATTTAATATGGCTGTCGATTTTTCCATAGAGTCATCTTCCAGATTTTTTTGTAATTCCTTAAATTTTGTTTTCTGTAAATTCTGAAGATATTAGTTCGATAATTTCCATTTCAAAATTATCAACATTAATCCATTCGAAAATCAACAAATCAAACGGTATTATTGATGGATCTATTAAATCTGGTTTTATGAGGAAGGAAAATAAAGGCACATAAGCTTCAAAGTCTTTGCATCTTCTGGAAAATTCATCTTTAAGTCCTTCAACGTAGGTTGAATTACATTGGCGAGCTACGTTGGAAAAATAATTATAATTAAACATTATCTCTTATTTAAAAATCACACGATATTTGCCATTTTCCTGATTACTTTAAGGAGTGCCATTCAGAACCCCATCGCGTGCCAAGCCTGGCACGCGTGCCGTAGGTTGCCGATGCCTGTTATAGATCATACTAAAATATTACGGCCTTACGACAATTCGTTTAATTTTAAAAATTCGTCAAAGTTTGCAAAAATTAGTATCGTTTTTCTGACGTTTGTCAAAACTAGAACTTTCATCGACGGTTGCTCAAAAATGCCTGAACCGATTTCAAAAATTTAAAAGCCAATCGATGTATTTCGATGTGAATTATTTTTTCTCAGTGTGCAGCGATAGGCTAAGCCGTTTCTTTGTAATTTCGTTTCGTGCACTATTAAGCTCATACTACCGAATCGATTTTAAAAAATCAAAAACTGTTCGAAAGATATTAGTTTGGAATGATACTGATCAGTTTTAGGTAAAAATCTAACGAGCCGTTTTCTTGTAATAAACTGTTGAAAAAAAAATTTAAGCCGATTTTTATGGAATTTTTTTTTGGCGATATATATCATGGTCTTATAGAACTTACTGAAATATTACGGCCTTACGACAAATAGTTTAATTTTAAATACTCGTCAAAGTTTGAGAAGATGAGAAGTTTTTTTTTGACGCTTGTTAAAATTGAAATTAGACGATTTACTTGGTATAATGATAAAGTACTTGGTCTTAGAGAACATACTAAACCATTAAAGTCCTACCGAAACTGGTTCAATTATAAAAATTATTGATTTGTGAAAATTTGCTTTTAGAAAATACTCCGAGTTAACGTGTTCGTTCGTTTTCAATTATGTGTAATAAATCCACTGGGAATACTTTTAATCACTCATAAATTAATTTATTTTTTATTGATTAAGTCGATTATTTATACATATCGGGAAGTTCATGTAACTTACCTCAAAGCAAATTACCAATACCAATTAGTTTTTTTATTAGAGCAGGAGACGCATTTTTCTATTTGAGCAGCGGGGGCGCAAATTATTTTTATTAGAGCAGGGGGGCGCGGTGCCAAATAGGTTGGAAGCCACTGGGTTACTATATATGAATTATTCCCTTTCAAATGCGTTATGCGCTGATATGCCAAAGGGAACTAAACGATTTATTTGTGAACTGTCTTTTTTCTCTAATATATTTTCCTTTATAAATATATTATTATAGTTCCTACTCAATTAAAAGACCATGTTGCTGGTCGTCAATAAATCTAAGATGTGTTTATGTGTAAAATGTATACTAATGCGTAAAAGCGATTGAGACTCATTTTAATATCATTAAATAAATAAATGTGTGTGATTTACCAATTATTGGCGAATTCTCAGGTCTCCAATTATTTTAATAATTTAAATAAAAAAAGTATTGCGAAAAAATAATAATAATATTTGAACGTTATCTATTTGGATCTCCATTTTCAGCCTTCTAGAATGTGGTGTTACAAGGTGATATGCAACAATATCATTGGGATGATCTTCTAGATCGGCTATAGAAATGCATTCCTTGACGCGTTATCTTGTTCAAACAAATTTTATACGTGGTTTTTTAAAATATAATTGAGCTATAATCATGAAAAATATTTTTTCATATTAAACGCGAGATAAGTTAAAGTTAATGATATCGCATGAAATCACTGATGTCGACGATCATCGTTGACGAATATTAAATGCTTTCGAATAGATTATTATAAATACTGCAACTTTCATTATTCTTGTTTTATAGTCTGTCGAATCGAAATTTGTGACCTCACGATGTTTGGTCGGTGAAAATGTAATTAAAACAAAAGCTGTAATGCATATACGAGTACAGACTATAAAATATAAATGTAATTAAAACAGCTGTAATGCAACTGTTTCTTATATTTATTAATTACTAGGTTCTTCGTCGCCATGTGCAACAGGTCATCCAAATGTGGGAATGGATAGCTGTCGGAGATATTCGGAGGTAATCGCTTTTATTTTTGGATAGTCAACACATACCCTTATTCCTCCGTCTTTCTTGGAAACCATTACGATCGGAGCCGACCTTGGTGAGTCACAAGGTTCGATTACGTTTTGTTCAATCATTTCTTGTAGTTTGCATATTTGCAATATTTGCATTTGCATATTTACAATTGCTTTCTCGTGTTGTGTTGCATATTTGACTCTAGCGCGTAGTATGAGGCAAGTTTGTCTTGAAGCCTGTGTTGCGTACCTTTTCTCGCATGACTGGTTCTATCTCTATCTGGACACGTCACGTCTTCATCTATGTGTATTTTGTATGTTTGTATGTATGTAAGCATAACTCACAACTATATTGCAATCACAGTAATGGCGAATATATTGTAATTTTCCATGATTGTAAATTCATAAGGTTATTTACAAGTTTATAAAAATATTATTAGATGATTAATACTACTATTGATAATTGGTAATGTTACAAATTGAAAAAGTACATAGTAGGTACATAGCATATGTACATAGTAAAATATATTCATCACATAGACCCTCAATCTAATTTGCCACATAATATATATTATATTGTCAATTAAAAGAATGCTAGATAAATTAAGCAAAATACTTCAAATAAGTGGCACAAACGATTGAAGAATCAGACTATAAGATAGATAAAATGTTGACTAATAAAATGATGAGCATAAAAATAATGTAATATTCTTTAAGTAATCTATTCAAAATAGCATGAAATCACCTGCGTTTTAATACTATGTTAGCCTTTTAGTAAAAAAGGCGTTACAAAATACATTTATTGATTGAGCATTTTATATTTTATATTAATCTCAAGTATATGGTTTCTCCATAATTTTCTGCATGCATTTAGTATATCATCAGAAATTTCTTTTTATACTAAAACGTTAAATAAAATACTTCATACCTTTCATCAAGAACCTCAGGAGCCATATATCGTCTAGTTCCAACTCTTGGATTAGATGCAACATCTAGAGCTCCTGTAGATTGTGTATGTGTAACTGCTAAACCAAAATCAGCTATAACACATGTTCCATTTACTCTCACAAGAATATTCTTTGATTTGATATCACGATGAGCCATAGCTGGTTTACCTTCGCCCTGGGACAATAATAATTTCAGTAATTACTCAAATTATAGTAAATATATTAATAGTTCTATATTACACTATAAGAAAACATGGTAATAGAATGACATTTTTAAAAGAACAGATTAGTTACACCAGATTATATTATATAAGTTCATCATACATTAATCTCTCAATAATTTCAAAATTATTGTCAATGGTAAGAGGTGTTTTTGTAAGGTGTAAAGATTATTTTTATTTTAAAAATTTACTTGTCCTTTTAAGATAGATGTATATATATATATATATATATATATATAAATCTTATTTAATCTTTAATACCTCTGTTCCAAAAATTTCTGAATGTAAGTGAACCAATCCAACTGCAATTGAAAGACAAATATGTGCCATTTGGTTATGAGTCAAGGTTGTTCTGTTCAAGTGATCGTACAAAGAGCCTAATGGATGGTAATGTGTCAATAACCATAACTGCGTACAGCTATTTCTTGAAATCATATCTGATCCCAAATATCTTAAAATGCAATCATGTCGTAGAAGTATAGTGCTAGAAATTATAACAAAAAGAACTATATACTTCAAAAAGCCAATTTCACTCACAAATTTAAATATATATTAACTGAGTCAATTAAATTTTATAGTACAACAGTATTCATGATAAAGGATGGAAAAAGATGCAACTTCAAAATGAGTAGATACAATATAATGGTGTGATTTACACATCATAATAATAACAATTCTGCCTCAAAATAGTTCATTGATGATAATAATAATTGGATTAGTTATAATTACATCTAGATCAATAATATGAATTTTATATAAGCAGTTATATAATATATAATATAGTAATAAGATTATATTTCACAAAAATTATTTTAAGTCAGCTATTTTAATTAACTAAATTCATAACATTGATTACAAACCTATAAATTTCAATTTCCCTTCGCCATGATGCCTCATCTCTAGAAAAAAATATTTTTACAGCAACATTTTCTCCATATAAAACCCCTCGCCAGACTTCACCATATCTATAAATACAATAATTTGTTTAATCTTAATCTTAAAAATTTACATGTTTTGTCTTTATTGAATCCAAATAGTATAAAACTATTTTTGTGAACATATATGTGTTATATTGGACGTACCTTCCTTTTCCAATGCATTCTGCTAAAGTAACTTGTTTTGCTAAAGTTCGTTGAATCAGTAAGGGCAATCCTGAACCTGAACCTGATGTCATAGAGTGTTCTAAATATTCCTAATAATATCATCATAAATGACTAAATAAATTATGTAATAATGTATGTTATTTTATTTTATTTTATATATATTGAAGCTTGATTATTGAAATTTTGAAAATGAAAATGCCAGATTACCAGAGCAGAGGTTTGAACACGCGACCCCGTCCACACGAGGCAGCGCATTGACCTGTTCCCCATGCAAGATATATATATATATATATATATATATATATATATATATGTATATATATATGTACATATATATATATATATATACATATATATATGTATATATATATATATATATATATATGTATATATGTACATATATATATATATATATATATATATATATATGTATATATATGTACATATATATATAAGTATATATATATATATATATATATATATATTTTATATATATATAACAAATGTATTCTGAGTGGATAATAGATATTAATTTGGAAATATGAACAAACAACACTCTTCTTGCACTAATTTATTAAATAATAATTTTCACAAACGTTTCGAGACTAGGTTTGTCTCATCATCAATGTGTCATAATTAAAAAAAATTTAAAATATGGAAATCTAAATTAGCATTTTGTGTTTTTCATTACAAGTCGTTCACTGCACGCTGCTCTTTTAATACCAACGGTCTTCGGTGTTCGTATTCTCTCCCACTTGAAAACCACTTAAAATTGTAATGTCACGCAATCAGATAGGAAGAAAGAATTAGGGTCCAGTTGAAAAATAGATGTCGTTAGGAGAAAAAATATTCTATGATGAGATGGTTTGTTTATAAGATTTGTTATACATTGTTATAATTACAAATGTATGTACATCTATATACATATTCATATACACAAACGTATACCCACAGTACAAAACGTCACATATACCAATACCTATATGCCTATAATATACATAATATGCATACATACACATAACCATATACACATCACACAGACATACACCTACCTATATATAAAAACACTCACATATCCTCATATACATATCGCCATATTACACATAAACTTACACATATATACATACATACACATATATATATACATATATACATACACATATACATAAATACATCTGCCCATACACATATATATACATACATACATCTGCCCATACACATATATATACATACATATATAAGTACATAAAAAGCTACAAAGTATTAATGAGATTCAGATACGTATCATGTAATATATTGGTATCTGTCCGTAAATTTACTGTGTTACTTGTATGGGCTATTAACATCGATTCTGCAATACTTCTTTTAAATAAATCTTGTTCATAATATAAAATGTGCGGATTATTGAAATCGAAACTATGGCTGTTAGAGATAGCGTGGTCTACAAGTGTACTTTTTTGTTGTATGTTATTATTCTTACTTTGTTTGCTTTGTAATTTGTGCTGTCTTAATCTTTTTTCTAAATTTTGACATGTTTGCCCAATATAAGATGACTCACAGTTCAAACAGTTTATTTTGTACACCACATCTTTTCTTTTTTTAGTAGGTGTATTGTCTTTAATGTTTGTGTATATGTCTTGCAGTTGTAGTAAGGGTGACACGGATATGTTAATATTATGTTTATTAAAAAGCCTTTTAGATAAAAGGTGTAAATCTTTGTCTATATATGGAAAATTCACAAAACATTTATTTTCTGATACAGACAAGTGATTTGAGCAATGTGTGGTTATTGATTGTTTGTCTAATAAAAATTTAATTCTATTTTTAATTATTGGACTGATTATTTTGTAAGGGAAACTATTCATGAGTAATGTGTTAATGACTAATTTGATATTGTGATTATGAAATTTTGGGTTAGATAAAAGAATTGCATGGTCTACTAAACTGAGAACTGTGGATATCTTTATATTGAGAGGTGTAAAAGAATTAAAATTAATATACCTGCCTGACCAGCTATCTTTCCTGAACCAATTGGTAATGCAAATACCGCCGTCGTTAATGAGCTGAACATCAAGAAAATGTATAGAGTTATCTTTTTCTAATTCTTGTGTAAATTATAAATGAGAATTATAATTATTAAATTTTTGAAATATGTTCTCTATATCATTTTTGTTAATTAATAAAAGCGTGTCATCGACATATCGAAAATATAGTAGTGGTTTGCAAATTGTAGAATTCAACACACTGTTCTCTAAATCTTGTAGCACTAAGTCTGCTAAAACGGGACTTAAAGGACTTCCCATAGGACATCCTCTAATCATAGTATAAAATTTATTATTGAATTGGAAATATGAGGCCTTCAGTAGTAAATCTATTCCAGAAATGAATGTTTCGAGAGGTAGTGAAGTGTATTCAACAATTTGCAACCATCTACTCCTAATGGCGGTGATAACTAATTTATGTGGAATGTTGCTGAAAAGATTAATAATATCAAAACTAACTTTTTTCAACTGGACCCTAATCCTTTCTTCCTATCTGATTGCGTGACATTACAATTTCAAGTGGTTTTCAAGTGGGAGAGAATATGAACACCAAAGACCGTTGGTATTAAAAGAGCAGCGTGCAGTGAACGACTTGTAATGAAAAACACAAAATGCTAATTTAGATTTCCATATTTTAAAATTTTTTTAATTATAACACACTGATGATGAGACAAACCTAGTCTCGAAACGTTTGTGAAAATTATTATTTAATAAATTAGTGCAAGAAGAGTGTTGTTTGTTCATATTTCCAAATTAATATATATATATATATATATATATATATAATAAATTCACTTACCCTTAATGTACTGTCTCCTGCAGCTGTAGCTCTCACAACATCATCTCCAGCATAATAAGTTTCAGGGTCTCGTTTTCGATTCCTCATGAGTCGTTTACGATGCAGTCTTCTCATGATAATTAAAATCATTCCAACAACTAAACTTAAAACAACTATTGGGCCTAAGATTGCCAAGCACAATTTGAAAGCATACCCAAAGTATTCAGGGTACGGTTGAACTTTATCTGGAAAAAAAACTTATACTTAATGAAAATAGAAATTTGATTGGATGAAATGGACAATGTTAAATACTAAATTCTAGTAGATCAAACAGATATAAAAATAGTAATTATAGTCTATAATTAAGTGAACTCAGTAAGATTACAAAATAAACAACATTCAAAATATTCAAAAGCAGCACATAATATACATATTTGAAATGTATGATCATTGAAAAACAAGACCAACTAATTAAGAAAAAAAAGATGAAAATTTAATTTGAACTTCTATTTACTCGTTAGAGTGTCAATTAAAGGACAATGCTAATGTTTATACCAATCTTTTAGTACTTAAAATATGTAAAATCACAAATAATTAACTAACCTCTACTATATGGATGTGGATGCAGTATAGGAAAAGAACCATTATTACAATAATCCCCAGTACAGCATTCTATGTGATATTGAGTAGCTGACGATGTGTGTCTTTTACTTATGCTATTTAGACCTGTAGTCAAATTTCCAGAAGATCGACATACAAATGGTATTTGATCTGAACTAGTAGTACATCCTCTAGATACCATAACGTTCCCATCAGGACCACGAACTGTGGATTTCCAGCACTAATAAAAATAATAAGAAGCTAGATATAATGGAGAACTACACTTTATAAATATAAGAGCTTTTAAAAACCTGTATAGCATTATTACAATGCTCAGTAACACTGCTTATACTGCAATCGGGTGGGTCACATGAATAACACTTGTACCTACTGTAAAACAATTTGTTGTTGCCTTAATGATATCATTTTATTATATAAACATTAATATATGATTGATTACATTGTATATATATATATATATATATATATATATATATATATATATATATAGAAACAGTATTTATATTTTGCTTTATATATAATCAAAAGTACAGAAATTGTATGAATAAACACAATAAGTTAAAGAAACAAACAGGAAAAAATATCTGATTTAATAAAATTTAATTTCTCTTACATTTAAAACATTGCAATACCTTTTTTTCTTCCATCGCCTAGTAAGAATGCAACAAAATAATTTGTTAATAGTAATTAATAAAGTATAAAACATTCTTCAATATTAGTTACAACATTATGTTTCACCCAATAAAAATAGCAAATAAGTAATAAGTAATTGTAATGATTTTTTAGTAATGATTTTTTAACTAACAAGTATACAAACTGGGAATTATTCCGAAACATTATAGAGCAAAATCTTAACTGTAATATACCATTGAAAAACAAACATGACCTGAAAAATGCTGTTGATAAATTTAGTGCAATTGTAATAGACGCAGCTAGAAAAAGTACCCCCCCACAAATTAAAAAGAAAATCCACACTTGCTCCATAGACACCAAAGCTCTTATTGCAGAGAAAAGGAGGCTAAGAAAAAGATGGCAGCTAACCAGATCTCCACAAGACAAAACGCAATTGAACAGAATGTCTAAATTGATTAAACAACAGATAACAACGTTCAAAAACGACCAATTTCAAGACTTTTTATCCCATTTAACAATATCAGATCATTCGATTTGGTAAGCCACAAAAAACTTAAAACGACCTGCCATTACTATACCTCCAATTAGAAAACTGGATAACACTTGGGCATGCAGTGATTTAGAAAAAGCAGAATATTTCTCGGCTTACTTCAAGGAAGTTTTTACACCAAATTCTTCAAAATCCTCGGAACAAGAAGAAAAATTTATTTTTGATTCTTTGAAAGAAGTTCAGTCAAATTTTTCATCAAACATCATTATCAAAGTTCCAGAAATTACAAATGAAATCCGAAGAGCAAAATCTGCAAAAGCACCTGGCGTAGACAACATTAATATTAATATACTTAAAGAGCTACCCTACAAAGCCTACCGTTTCATAACAATCCTGTTTAACGGTATAATAAGACTTAAATCATATCCCGATCAATGGAAAATTGCTAAAATAATAATTATTCCGAAGCCTGGTAAAAATCCGAATGAAGTCCAAAGTTATAGACCAATTAGTTTACTTCCAACGTTATCCAAAATATTTGAAAAGGTCTTAATTAGTAAAATAAAACCATTTATTTATGATAGCAACGTTATCCCTGAGCATCAATTTGGATTTTTAGAAAAACATGGCACACCAGAGCAAATTCATAGAATTGTCAACAATATAAACAAGGCTTACCAAAACAAGAACTACTGTTCAGCTGTTTTCCTCGATATTAGTCAGGCATTTGATAAGGTGTGGCATCCCGGCCTACTTTACAAAATAAAAAATGCATTGCCGATTGATATATACCTAATAATAAAGTCCTACCTGGAAGGTAGAACATTCTTTGTTAGTGTAAGGGGTGAAACATCTTCATTACATCCTGTCAGATCGGGTGTGCCTCAAGGTAGTGTAATTGGGCCACTATTATACCTCATATACACTGCGGACCTACCACAGAAAGAAGACATTTTGACAGCAACATATGCAGACGATACAGGCATAATGGCAACACATGAAGATCCCATAATCACATCAAAAATGCTCCAGGATCATCTTGACGTGATACAAAAATGGTTAAGCTTGTGGAGAATAGAAGTTAACAGCAGCAAGTCAAAACACATCACTTTCACTCTTTGCAAAGGGACATGTCCTGCAGTAAGACTTAATGACGAAGTTATAGACCAAGCAGATACAGTCAAATATCTAGGTTTACACTGGATAAGAGACTAACCTGGAAAGAACACATTAAGAAAAAGAGAAAGCAGCTTGAAGAAACCAGAAGAAGATATCATTGGCTCCTTGGACGAAAATCAAAACTTGACACTCATAATAAAATTTACTCCTATAAAGCCATCATCAAACCAATTTGGACATACGGCATACAGCTATGGGGATCAACTTCCAACTCAAACGCTTTAATAATTCAAAGATTTCAAAACAAGTTATTAAAAGAAATTTTGAAAGCACCAAAGTATGTTCCAAATTGGTTAATACACAAAGACTCAGGCACCAGCACAGTTAAGGATGAAATAATCGCTTACTCACACAAATATAGAAATCGCCTAGCTGACCACCCGAACTTGCTCGCGAGAAAACTTCAAATCAACTCTACCAGGGCCCGATTAAAAAGAAAATTTCTTCTGCACTAATCAACAATAGATGAGACCATTCGACAAATCACTGGCAATGGTCAGATGATTTGTATTTTGCCAACGCCTTCAGTTTCATGTCAAATATTTTACTTGTTGTCCGTTTCAGGACAGTTGTAAAAATTATTAAAATAAAAAAAAAAAAAAAAAAAAAAAAAAAAAAAAAAAAATTATTCTGAAATCTGAATTTACATTTTTTATTTCAATTTCTGAAAATTGATCCTCTAAAATTGATTGAGGGTTCAATTAAATGCAAATGGTAAAGTTTTTATACAAACAAGAATAAATGTGAAATGAAAAATAAGCCCTGCTTATAAGGAAATAAACTACATGGAAATTATACATTTGCATATATATATATATATATATATATATATATATATATATACATATACATACATATTTGGAACACCTGATATTGTGCAGTAACAATGTCCATTTTCAATTGAAAATGTATAAGAAAAAAATGTTTTCAATTGAACATAGCCCGACTTTGGGCACTGCGGTGTGATATGGCATTGGAAAATCTCTATTCTGAATTGAGTTGAAGTTTAACTCAGCTTATGGACCTGCCTTAAGGCAGTACTACACATTATATAAATATATATATACCTTTACTGCTTGTGCTTAATGTTATTCACCAGCAGTTGTTATGCAGTCATTGTCGTTTTATTTTATTTTTCATTCAAAAAATGTAGAGTAACACATAGTATTTTGCAGAATATTAAATAACAAACAAGATGAAATATTTTGCAATTGTTTTAATGTATTTATGTAGCTATTTTTATTTTTTTTTGTTTGTTTCTTGTTCATAATATTTTCTTGTAAATTTTACAGTTTTGGCCTAAGTAATCGCTTTAACACAGAATTTCCTGCTGGTTTGGTCTCACGAGTGGCGCCTGAAGAATTCAAAGCAACAATATCCCGAGTTAATAGTGTATTAAAGAAAACATTACCAGTCAATGTTAAATGGTTGTTTTGTGGCTGTGTATGTTGTTGCTGTACTCTCGGTTGTTCTCTTTGGCCTGTAATATGTCTTAGTAAGAGGGTAAGTTTTTTTATTTTGCCAAATGATTGTTGAATCAATTATGTTATCCATTGCAATTTTTATAGGCCCAAAATTCATTAGAAAAGCTTTTGGAGTGGGAAAATAGTCACTTGTATCACAAATTAGGTCTTCATTGGCGATTAACTAAACAACATTGTGATTCATCGTCCATGATGGAATATGTATTTCTAATAGAATTCATACCCAAAATACCTATTTATAGACCTGATTAATTATTATAAATGGCATCTAACAGAGATCTTAATGGTCATATTTTTATGATAAATTTTAATGTTGACTGTCGATGTATATTGAATAGCTTTAAATCACAATTATCATAATACAATGTGTATAGTTTTAAAATGTTATGTAGTATTGTTAATTATTAAATGCTTTTAGCAAACTTTGTTAAACAGCCATTTCACATTGATCTTTACATAGCTCCTGAATGAGTTAACTCATTCGCTTCACCTGTTTGAAGTTCCACTAATAATTTTTGTAGGGAGTGGAAAGTTTTGTCATTACGTTGCTTACTTCCAAAAACCATTTTGAAAATAAGCTATGGCTGTTAATTTCTATTAATTGACCATGTGTAATGAATTCATTGTCATTGAGCTTATTTTTGAAAGCAATAACTTTTTTTTGAAGGTTAGCAGCATCAAAGTTCATTAAGGTGCTATTTTATTTTGTCAATATGATGCTGCGCTCAACTTTTAAGAGTATAAAATGACAGACATTGCTTGCTCAAATTATTATTTCAATGAGCTATGTAAAAACCAAATTACTGATGTGCAATAGTACACATTATGTCTTCATGTGTAAAGCGATCATATCTCAATTGTTTTGCTGTAAATAAGTGCTTTTTCATTTTATCACCATAAGTTTAGAATTATTAATACCTAACAATTTATATAAGAATGTGATATTTATTAAAATATTGTAAACTATATTATATGGATATAATATTATTGAATTTAACCTTTTTGTGACAAAGATGTGTAAGAAACCATGTTGCATCAAATACATAATAAATATATTTTATGAAATTTGTTAATGTAGTTAAAGTTAATGAAATGTGATTAGGGATGAAAAGTGTGAAATAAATAACTAGTAGTTAGGAGACAGCAGAGCTATAATTAAGTTTTTGTTAAATAATTCAATCAGCCTATTTACAATTTATCAAATACAAATACTAAAATCTGTTTGCAAAGTAAAAGAACATTATAAACAGATTTATAGTATCCACAAACTGAATTAAAATATTAGGTTCTTTATATTATTTTTCCTTTTTTTCATTGGTTCAAAAAGCCAATCTCAATGAATAAATTAAAATCTATTAGTAATGTAATATAAAACAAATTGATGTCTGCTTTCTCAATACATAAGTTAATTGAGATTTAAAATGCATTGCATTTTTTTAAATCTCAATTTATCCCTATGTTGAACGCAGTTTCAATATTCAGTAACAAGAAATTCATTCATCTTGTATATTCATGTATCTCAAGAAAACTTAAATAGAAAAATATTTGACCTGATTATTGAGAAGCGACTGACATTTCCTTAACTCCTTTCATGAAAACTTCAGTATCTGAATGTTGCTTAACTATAGCTTTCAGCATTGCTTCTAAAAAGTCTTCCATTGTTGTTGAACTTTTATTAAAATATAAAGCATGAGCTAAAAATGGAATTTTCCTAAGTGTTCTTCCACTCATTCCTACGCTTTGTTCAGCAATATTATAAAGATCCAAACTTAATTTATTAGATACGCTGGAATTTTCATTGTCTTTCACATTTCTGATAATTTTCATAATATGGTGATTTAGTAAATCCTGGGATTTACTTATTAGTCCAACCTGAAATAATTTAGTGATAAGACTAAAATTAATAATATATTAATAAAGACAGTTGTTACTTACCCTAATTAATTCATTTATACATGTTCTATAAATTTCATAAATTGCTACAGGAGATGGCAAACTTATATATTGCTTAATATCAGCCCGATCAACAAAGGCCAGATCAATAGCTCCATTAATATTCGATGTTGTTAGAATCAACACGTTTGGAAATTGACGTATTTGGTCAATTTGTGTAAGTACTGCATTAACTACTCGAATTGAATCTGATGGCTCGGTTCCAGAAAGAGATGACTGCCTCGCATGTGTTAATGATTCCACTTCATCAATTAATACACACACTAATGCTTGCGGATCATTGATCATTTCACGAATTTTTCTAAACATCTTCATAACCAATTTCCCACTCTGAAATTTTAAATATTATTTGACATATATATGTACGCAAATATATTTGCTATTGTTTATTTTTCAACTTCTAGCAAGAATAGTTTATGCTTTATTCAGAAAATCTGCTCTGCTAATTTATAGTTCTCAACATTTCAAATCATTCTGAACCATTTGATACCAAAATAGGGAAAGGTATATGTTAATGTCAGCAGAAATGGCAGAATTGGTCCTGGTTTGACTAGTGTGTGACTATCGGCCAAGCCGTTCTCTTACAATTAGAAGAAAAGTGCAATGTTTTCCACCTTGTTTTCGCATAAAATTCTGAACTGATTTTAAAACTATTCAGATCTGATTATTACTACAAAATTTTATCAGTAGTCTATAATTCATGGCATTTTGAAGCAAACTCAAAAAATCATATTAAGTCTCTCTAAATAATATTTCATATTTCTTGTTATATTTCAAGACTGATTTGCAGTCACTTCACCTGTTTGAAGTTCCACTAATAATTTTTTGTAGGAAGTGGAAAGTTTTGTCATTACGTTGCTTACCTCTGAAAACCATTTTGAAAATAAGCTATGGCTGTTAATTTCTATTAATTGACCATGTGTATATCTATCACTCATCCTTATAGATAATTTTTATGCGAGAGCTTTGCAGAGACTAGTTTTGCCAGTGCCAGTGCCTGGAGGCCCATGAAGAAGTACCACTCGATTCCATGTTATTATATTTGAATCCACATTTTTATCAGAAAATAACAGAGTACTCTCTACAAATTTTAACAACTGAAAGAAAAGGTAGTATAATGAGAATAAAGTATTTTTCAAATAGAAACTCAAAAACTGCTTTTGCAAAATAATAACATTTAAGTGCAACTTACATTTTCTTTTATGTCAATTTCATATATCAAGCTTTCCCAAAGACCATGGAAATCCACTGATGGCAGCACCCAATGGTTAGCTGTTGATAATTCACTTCCAGTATCATCATCATAATCCTAGAAAATGATAATTCAACATTAAAAAAGTAGCATATAAAGTAGGACTCAAATTTTGAAAAGAAATAGCACTTAATAATAATTCAATATCACAACTATTTTACCTCAATAGTTTCAGCTTGAGAGCCTGCTTCATCAAGCCGATATACATGGTATATGATATTTGTCAGTGATAGGAGTATTCTAAATTGAAAAATAAATAATCAAACAGTTGTATTTAATTTTTCATAAATCAAAGAGTAAAAACACAAGACCTTTCAGTAAAAGTATAGTTATGTGGACTTTAAAATAAAACATGGTGTAGAATTTTAATATAAGCGGAAGAGCATATTATATAATTACATGACAATGGTATTACAATGGATATGATGATTATATAGTTTTTCACTTTAATTGGAATCATACCCCTGACAATTATTTTCATTACAAATAGTAATAGAATCTACATGGTTATAGAGGAATTCTTCATTAATTTTAGGAATGTATCTGGTCCTATTACTGTTCAAAATATAGACATTTATTTTTTCATTAAGAAAGACTTTTGCAATTTGTAAAATGTCATTTTTGGCAGCTGCACTGAAATGAATAAATAGATAAATGATTATTATAAAGATGGTGTCAATAGTTATTATATCAAATTGTACAAACCTGTTATTTTTTTTGTAAAATTTCCACATGTAAATCAGCGGACATTTTAAAGTAAATAATTGTTTATTGCAATGTTAATGATATCGGTATGCTGTAACACATTACAGATTTGTCAAATCTTTTGCACTGTGCTTTCAACTTTTTTATGTTGCATTCGCTGTTACGATTACTTCATTACTATCTACTATAATCTTCATTACTATAATGTTTACTTATCTATGACTATACTATAATTTCTTTTTTTCGGCGTGCTTATTCGCTCCGAGCGTGACTGCAGCGCCCATGCAGCGCCGTAATAAATATGAACTAATTGGGGTTATCAGTGTGTGGTTTTCATGGGTTTTACATGTTTGTTAAAGAAAAAGATATTAAATACTCTTCTTTTATCTATGATTAAATAATTGTTATAAATAATAATAAACAAGATACAGTAATAATGTGAACGCTGAATGTTTATTGAAATTATTAAATTTACTTCAACGTACTTAAAACATTGTTAAGTATAATGATTAATTAATTAAAGAAATGCAGTAAATATTTGTAAGGTTAAGTGCCTCAAAGCTTATGTCATAAACTCGGAATAGTTCTTAATAAAAACAATATAATAATGATAAATAATATTTTATCAATAGAATAAGTAAAAGTAAATAAATTTATTCAATTTTTTGGTCAAACTAAAGACTTAGACATTATTATAAAGACATAATTTAGACATTATTATAAAGACAAGACCCATCAAATAAATTGCAGGAAAAAAACTACATTAACTTTTCGAAATTAACTTATTGAAGGATATATTGTGACAAGTAGGTA